CGCGCGCGCAACATGTTGCGGAACAAATACATCACCAATCCATTGTAGTTTATCCTGATCTTGACGCGTGTGCCCCGCGATAGACTATTCGCTACGTTCGAGGGAAACAATATTTGTTCTTCTACATACGCGCGTGCATAGAGGGATGGCAGGAGCGATTTGTGCAGGTGTGTTTGTGTATTTCTCTTCCCGAACAGTCTTGCACTCTGGATACGTGCGAAGACATGGTACACACGCGATCCCTCAGTCCAAGGCATGCGGGTTGTCACAGCTGTTGTTCTCCTATTTGTAACCTCGTGCATGACTTCGAGCGGCAACAACTGCGGTGCTTCGAAATGTGGACGACGATGCAGCCCCGCAAGCACAAAAATAAGGTCGATCTTCCTTTGCAAACAACCCCGCGGTAGTCGACAATGACGACCTCGCATACTTACCGCTTCCCTAAGCGTCGTCGTACCACTTCATTTCTTCAATGCTCTCTACACGACCTTATAAACAAAACGAAAATCTCTTAGAGGACCAGCACGGTTGCCCGAAGCAAGCTGTGATGCCAATTTAGCAAAGGTGCAGAAAGTGTGCGGAACCCAATGAACAGGAGTCTGGACGATGCGCTCTTCTTGCAGTTGGAAAATCTCAAAATACATTGTGGGTGAAATAAGATAGATGGGAGTCATTGCCATTACAGTAGCAGCAGCAACCGCAGCACTACAGTAGTGCATTCGAGTCAGCTTCCACTGCTCATATGTGTCGGTGGCAGTGCTGGTAGGTGACGATCGTTTGGCGGTACTGTCCTGTAGCAGAGGGCGAGCATGTGTGTGTGTTCCTCCGCTGTTGATGTGTATTTTTTAAAACTTCCAGCGGGAGTGGGTGGATGTACCAGTCTTGGAAGATCCGTTCAAATATAGACAATATTCCGCAAGTAGGGAATTACGCGATCTAGGCTGCGGCGTCGCTGCCTGGAAGAAGCTTGTATCACACCTCGCATAGCATCGTAGATAGACTACTGTCAGGTATTGAGTCGTACCCCGCGGCTCATTACCCCTCCCTTGTTGTACAGCTAATTCTGCGAAGCCAGCGTTGCAGGCAGAATCAACGGGAGTTTGTTGATGTGCAGGGGGGCGCTACGCCGTAGTGTTATTGTTTCGCCGGTGCTAACGTGCTACTGGCAATGTCATGCAGTCAGCACGACCTCTGGTTTGAGATGCAAAGCTGTAGCACGTGAGATTGGTTTGGCCGGAGATCTAGTGTGATTTTTTCGGGTATGGCCCTGTACCCTTGCCAGATTGATTGAGGCAGAGATGGGCATGGATATGTATGCTACTTTGATATTCTAAGGTCGTTCCGTGTTGTCGGTGCCCTTGCTACTACTCTAGGTACTCCCAAGGAAAGCGTTTACCTTCAAAGGTATATGTGCGTCATCCTTGCGCTGTCTGGGTGTTGATCAGGGGCACTGCAGGCTGGACGAACTTCGTTATTCCTACTTAGTGGTGCCGATACGGTAACGATGAATCAAGGGCAAAATGGACAGAGCGATATTCGACATGAAGGTAACAGTAGCAACGTGTCGCGCTGTGCCACAATTTTCGTGTGTAAGCGCGTTGAACGTGGCAGACATGCACATGTAGGCAACGTTCCGCCCCGTCCGTGTGATTGGTGAACAATGTCACCGACGTGTGCGTCCCGTACCATCATCATGCCGGGGCCCGTTCGCGCCCCCGCACCATCGTTCGCCGTTTGTTCCACTCTAACTACTTCTCATTTCCGTAAGCTGTGCCAAAACAGGCACTATTGAGAGATTCAAAACCTTCCATGGTGCCGGGTATTGGCACGCTGCAGCAGTACCGGTGGTACAGCGTGTGTGCTGTCGTATTCGCACCCACGACACCCCGGCACGACCGTCATGAACTATCGGTACTCTACACTCATCGTTCGTCTTCCCATTTCTGTATGCGACGAATTCCGAAGGTTAGGGCGAGGTGAGAAAGCACGTGATGGTACCGCGTGTGCCACCCTGACTGTCACACCCCATGTTATACCCTGTATGTATGTTTCTACTTTGAGCGCACTTCATCACACTGGTGACGTCACCATTCCCCGATACTTCACACGCCCCTGAATGATCACACAACGGGTCTGCGCGAAAAAAATTCCGGACACATAGGCCCTACGAATCGTCGAAAAGTTACGATGAGGTTTAGATGGATTGCAAACATGCCTCGCTCTCGTTACTCCTTCCGCATCTGCTCGTCAGAAGCCGGCCCACGCTCAGCCGTGCTATAGGAACACACGTACGGTAGCGCCCCATTCGTACAAAAGTACAGTAGATTCGGCCAAAGCTCAAAATGAGCGAAGCAGCTCAGCTAACCATCCAACAACACCACCTGCCTTGCAAACTTGCCTTTGCCACTTCTACGTAGCACTGCACAACAGAGAACATAGTCTCGCAAATCTACTCGTAGCCTTGGTCTTGTCTGATCAATCTAACCCCAACCCTAACCCTAACCTAACGCCAAAGCGCCGACGCTCCGGGGGGAAACCCGGGGATACATGGGTATATGTCCCCGCCCCCCGCCCCCAAATCACCCCGATTTTCGATTAGTAGGCCTACGTGTCTTGAAATGTTTTTCGCACAGACCCACAACCTGTTTTGACCGCACTTTCTATCACGCGGGAGGCGCCATCAATACTATTGTCACACGCCCCCGGATTTCCCACCCTATTGTAGGTGGGTTCCTGTGAGCGCATGGCTTCACACGGGCGACATCACACACCCTTTAAGGCGAGATTCCCTCAGTGCACGTTGTCCAAGCCGTGACGTAAGATACCACCCCCGCTGCACAACACCAAAAACCCGTGTGATTACTTTAATTCTTGATCTCAAAAATGCCACAGGTGTGGTGTCTCATGCAACCTGCGCTATGCATGGTACGCTATGCATATTTATCTGCATGCTGTGGGCTGCAGAAGAAACCGCATCCCCTCGGCCAATTTGCAAAGCTCGACTGCTACCGCTGTACTCTGCAGCGAAAACAGCGACGGTGTCGAAAATTGGCGGCGTTGGAACCAATTCGAGAGCTTTCCGAAAAGTATCAGTGATCCGTGGCATCATCCTCTATGTCGTGAGGTGCTTGGGCTCTGATAATCGGTCCAGGGGGCGTGGTATCTTATGCAACACACGCGCGGTGTATCATCCGAGCGAGCACCCGTTTGCGGCGTGATATGCATACCACTGAACTCTCTACTATAAATACAAGTGAGCAGCAGTGGAGTTTGGTTGACGATACGCAGGATCTGCAAACAGAATTTCCCAGCGTGGATCATGTATGGGGTCCATGGAGCAAACACCGGGTGGTACATGTTTTTCGCGACAACGCAACCTCCTTTACCTGGAACGCTTACCCTGCTCGGTTGATGCGTGCATCATGTAGTCTACAGCAGTATGTGCGTCCACCACGAGTAAACTACACAAAGTACGAAGTAGTCTTTACCTGCTGCGTGATTCCCCGAGCTAGCTCTCTTCGCTTTCGCAGCAGCGGTGTGGCGCTCGCTCTTTATGTTGGCTGCGAGCCAATTCCACGTGCTTGCTGGATGCCTCAAGCAGGCACTTCGATCCCGAATCTTAAATCCTGAGCAGACTCCGTTCTTTTTGCCCGAGAGGACTGCTATTGTTTTTTGAACTTTTTCAACCCGGGGCCAAATGTGCATTTTTCCCCGCATCTAAGGCTTCGAAAAATACTACAAAACCTTTCCGCGCGCGCGAGGGGGCGAGGGAGGCGAGCAGGCGAGAGGGGTCGCAGCGGACACTGAGAGAGACAGAGAGAGAGATGTGTATGAGAATAGACGCGCCTTAGATCACCGGCTTGCCCCAGGAGCTTGAGCGGAGGCCAACGAAGAGGCCCTTGCGATCGGGCGAGGTTTCAGCCGGAATCTTGGAGAAGGGCGGCCGACGTAGGTTGCTGGGGGTCGCTTTTTCTCTTTCAGCAGGTAATTTCGTATGTTTGCATTTTGGCTGATTTTTGTCTCACACACACATCATTTCGAAGACGGCGGGGAGCGGTGTTGGGGTTGCCGACTATGCTGCAGGTCGGTATTTCGTGGCGTGCTTCGCGCCCGAGCGTGTCTCTCATCTGTGAAGAAAACGGAGTCGTTGTCGTTTGCTCCACCTGCCAGTTGCATGTACAAGAGGCGCGTTGCGATGGGCAACCCTACCTCTGGCGCTGGGTGAGGTAAATCCGTTTTTTTTTACGGGGAGAGAGTTGACTGGTCAGTGCCTCGTTTGTTTGCCCGTCCGTCTGCTTTGTGTAGTTATGAGCATGCCGCCCAACGCTTGCGAGGCTTATCAACACGCTTGCCTGGTTTCCTCCTCTAGCGGAGGCTCTGTCATCGCGATAGCGCATGCATGAGGAGCTCTTCACGGAGACACATCAAGACTTCATGAAGCATCGCCCCAGCGGTGTATATGCACTCCCGTCGAAAGATACTGGGGGGGGTGTTAAGCAGCGTGTTTGCGTGCGGGATTCCATGCCTGCTGGAGTACATAGTGTGTGCCTGCTGGGTTCATCTGCCCAACACGAGGTGCCACATGCAAGCCTTCGCTGTGCGTCATGACGGCTATCATGTCGTCGAGTGTGGCATCTTGCAGAGGGAGGCAGGAGACGTGATAAGTCATTTGATCATACATACGTAGGGGTTCGGGTTGTGTTTGGCGACCCGCGGGCGCGACATTTTTTTTTTGCTTTTCGTAAAAAAGGGGAGCAGCCTCGTGAGGTCATCCCTGCATCGCGGACTCTACACTAGCATTTAGCTGCCCAGGTTTTATTTGCTGAGTCTCGTTGGCGCCAAAAGTCAGCTCCCCCACGTGTGTCGTGTGTTTTTCCTCGTTCCTGGCAGCATTTTTACCCCAATCCAGCGGCGCGGCTGACAGCGGCCTGGCGTAGCGCAGGGGAGAAGGGCAGGGCCATCTACATCTACATCTACGCGGAGCGGTGCTCGGGTGGTGAATGGCTACCCCCAACAATCGGGCACCGAGCGAGGAAGGTATGTATCTTTGGCAGACCCGCTGTTTTTGCCTGCACACGGAAAGTAAATCACCACAACATACAACCCCCGAACTGACAGTCAGGTCACACCAGCGTTATATCAAGCTGCTCTTGGCGCCAGGCTCGTTTCTGGTCAACGAGCGTCCTACTGTACGCCGACCCTGGCCAAAATTGGCGAGCCGTCGTTCTGTATCTTTGTGTCTTGGGTCGGCTTGACGCCGCACTATCGGTGAACAGACAGGCCGTGTCTCACACTGCCTGGCGCTGGAAGGATCGGTCAGGTGCATATCTACTTTTCGTTATCCCCCGGTGACTGTCACGAATATTCTTATTCGAACGAATGATGTAGAGGTACCACATACTAGTCCTGTACTCGATGCTGGGGTGAAAAATCCCCCCAAGCCCCCCTCCCCCCGAATCCACATCCAGACTACCGTGTGCGATGCGAGATAAAACATTCCCGCGATAATTTTTTGGTCCCTTTTTTTTTAGTACTGCTATGCATATGTGTGTAGTTGTTTGGGGGGGGGAGGGTTTCTTCCATCACCATATCTCAAGAGTAGTTTTCGTGTTTCGGGCTCATTTGAACCGTATAAATATGCCCAGCAGGTGTGGGTTTTTCGTGGGGGTGTGTGCTCATTCGTGTTTGTGTGAGATCTTGTGCTTTGTAAGGTGGTACACGTATCACCTGCGATTTCCGTCAACCTCAACCGCTGCCACACACACACACACACACACACACACACACACACCGCCCCTGCTTTCAATAGGGGAAGTCCCAGATGCGTCGCCCGCGAGGGGAAGGGGCAGCGGAGATGCTATTCCGAACCATGGATCGGCCGGGGGCTCGGGAGCGAGCGCCCTCTCACCGTCTGCGGCGGTCGGGGCCGGGGCCGCCACGCCCAACGGCACGGACAACAGTGGCGGCGGCGCCGGAGGCGCCGGCGGTCGGGACGTGCGCCGCTCCTTTCAGCAGCGCGACGGAAGCAGCGGCGGTGATCTGAGGGATCCGGACGGGGGCGGAGAGCAGCACCTGGAACTGCGGCAGCCGCGGGAGCGAGGACGCTCGCGCGATCGCGACCCGGACTTTTCAAGCCATGGCGGCGGTGGCGGCGGCGCTCATCCCGGCTTTGGCGGCGGCACCTTCGGCAGCCGATTCCACCCGAGGGCCGGCAGCGGATCTTACCGGTCCGGCGATGGAGCTGTCGGCGGCCGTATGGTCGGCCGCAGGGGGGGCGGCATGATGGGCGGGCGGGGTGGCTGGATCCCCGGCGGGGGTCGAGGCGGCGGCTCGCGGGGCGGGCGGGCGGGATCGCGGTGGCCTTCGGGTCGAGGAGGAGGAGCGCCCATGGGTAGCAGCTACGCCGATTTAGCGGTACGTCCCGGTGTCAGCAGCGCTGCCGGCGGCGGTGGCAGCGGAGGAGGAAGCGCTGCCGGTGCGGCGGTGACGGGCGGGGCGCGTGGAGGCGGGTACGCTGACTACGCGACAAGAGCGGTCGGCGGCGGCGGCGGCGGCAGCGATGACCGCCACAGAAGACATTCTCCTTCCGGTCCCCCCCCGGCTCAGGATGAACAAGCGCGCCGCCGCGGGAGCGGTGGCGGCGGTGATAACGGAGATGACGACAGAGATAGGCGGCGGCGAAGCCATAGCGGCGGCAGCGTGAACAGCGGCAGGAGGTCTTCGGCTTCGGCGTTGAGCAGCCTCGCCGGAGGTGGCGGGGGGCGGAGCTCGACCAGCCCCGGCGCCGGCGAGAGGCGGACATCTTCACTCGCTCTAGATAGCGGGGGCCCCGCCTCGCGCTGCGGGCACGACGGGAGGGGTGGCAGTGGCGGCGGCGGCGGCGGCGGCGGCGGGAAGGGTTCGTTCGGGCGACGCGAGGACAGTGGCCGGAGCTTTGGCGGGGACGCGGAGGGAGGGGCAAGGGGTTCGTCGGGGTGGGGAGAGCGGCGAAGCGATCGGGACAGGTGAGATTTTTAGCTTGAGCGTGCCTCCTGCTGTGTAGATTTTGTGTTGTGTGCGTTTCCTTATCACGGCGTGCTAATGCGAAGGCGGCACCTGTTGTGTAGATTGGGTTCGTGCACTTCCTTAGCCCGGCTTGTCCATGCGAAGGCGCCCCCCCCCCCCACCCCCCCAAAAAATACAAAGTTCCCCCCCAAAGCTCCCCTGGCCGGGGGGGAAACAAGGTTGCCAACCCGCCCAATTTTTTTCGGGGGAAAAAAACCCTTCGGGGGGGGGGGGGTTTTTTTTTTCCCTCGGGGGGCCCCCCCCAAAAAAAGGCCCCCGCCAAAAAACAAACAAAATAAAGGGGGGAACCGGAAAAAAAACCCCAACGGGAACGGGAACGGCCCCCCCCCGGGGGGGGGTTAAAACGGAACCAAAAAAAGGGCCTTAAAAAAAAAAAACAGGAATTGAAAACCCCACACGTTTTTGGGGGCGGGGTTTGCAACTG